TTAAGAGGAAAAAAGGACGCAACTACATTTTAGTTGCGTCCTTTTTTCCTCTTAAAATATTTGTTCCGCTCTGCTTCAACGTATTGAGCACTGTTCCACGCGAAAATCGACTTGCAGACTCCCTATGTCCTATATATATATCTCCTCCACGGCTATTGTTCGGCCTCGTCAAAACAACGTCTGTGTATACAAATAATAACATTACTTTCAGTAATGAAATTAATCTACAATTCGACATTGTCAATACGCAAGCTTTTGAGAGCCTACAAAAATGTTTCTTGAATGTCTCTTGCACAACTCGTTCTTGTCCTTCACAGTTAAGTTTTTCTTTCCTAAAGCAAAAAAGTTGCACGAGTTAATGCCATAGATATTTTAACTGCCATCATCATCGTTATCATGATAGTTACACCTTCCTCTATCCTATTTGCAAATTAAAGTAACGCTAAGGGCCCGGGCACGCTGAGCTGACAAAATTTGTTTGGTTGCACCAAAAACCTCGACAAAATTTGTCTCCGCCAGATTTTAATTTTTTCAATCGTGGGCGCACTGAAAAACAGCAAAATATTTGTTTACAGCCAATCACATGGATGTACAAATTGAACAAAACTTGGAACTTGAATTTAGAAAGGAAGCTCACATTTTCTTTAATGTTTCCTTCAAGTCGAGGCTTGTAAGTTGATGAACATTGTTGGTCATCCAATCCCGGAATACCTACTAAAGCGCCTACAACGTGTCCAGTTAGCCGCTGCAGGTTTCGTTCTTAGGCGCTATGTGCATATGCCGTATCTAATCAAACTAGGATGATGCCGATAAAGGAACGCAGAGAGTATCAGTTACTTAACACTGCTTTTAAAGCCTTGCGCTATAATGACTGACCGTCCTATCTTAAGCCCCATATTCATGATCCAACACGGACACTGAGATCTTCGAAAGAAACGACGTTAAAAGCATCCCTTGCGTCGGGTACTATCCAGGACAGCCCCTCTAGTGTTTTTAATTCATTTCCCTCTGCTGCAAGGAACTCTGTAGCTTTTAGTTATTTTAAAACTGAAGTAAGGAAGTATCTTGTAAATAGGGTAAATGCACGTTTGATTTCTCGATTTGTATATATTCTGGATTACTTTATTTATTTGTTCATTTTAAATAATCCAAGGAAACTGGTAACGACAGTACCTGTATAGTTGACAAGTTTGACTTTTGCTATGTTGACCATTTTAACTCTCTCCTGTCTGTTTAATGACGATTGCCTTGTAGATTTTCTATGTAGGAAAGTGTTTTCTAGGGAAACTATGAAAGAAATCAGGCAACGGTTGAAGCGAAAAAGTAGCTGTTTGTACTTGATGAAGTTAATGCCGTTGCCAATCCTCGTTTAAAAGGAGCTTTTCCCTCTAGCTGCATTTCGTATCTAATAGTAAATTCAAAACTGACGAGAACAGAGACGGAAAGATGATTTAATGGTTTCCCGCGAAACACTTTTTTGCCGAGAGTCATCGGGACTCCACTGGGCAACCCTGTGATACGATATGCTGTCTACGTGCTTCTGCATTACAAAGCGTGTTGTTTAGCGTAAAAGTCTCACGATCGTCTTAAAATTTGATCAGCAAAAGCTATCCACCAAAAAGAAAAAAACGTTATTACTTTGGATTTCCGTTTCTTAAACAATCTCCCACAGTGACCTACGTAAAGCGTACTGATGCAATTGCGACAGAAAGGTATCACGGTAATAATTTCTGACCAAGACCTATTCTATCTTTAAGCCACCTGCTATGAAACCAGGAACGACAAAACCTTTGGATTCCTTTCATTGGAAAAATGGTTTCCTCGTACTTTCCTTTAAAGGTCATTTGGCGGTTCTTGGGGTAGGAATTAAATTTTTTTAAAATCTCGGTGTGAAAGAGGAATAATGTACTAATTAACTTTGCGAAGCCATTGTCAGGAAAGAAGAGGTTTCTCAGTTTTTAAAGCAAATCCTAGGAGTAAAGGAAAAAAGCAGGCTTGATGTGGAGAGTCTTAGTCAGATATTTTAAGTTGCATCTCGGGTGTACACTAAAGGAGGCAAGTCTACTCGCAAGGTCAGTTTAAAAGTAATCAATAAAAATTTTATACTTGAACCTTATTCAGTTGAAAGCGTTTTCCAAATTTCAAATTTTTTGCGGCAAAATATGGTATGGTTACTTGTTTTGGCATGTGAAAACGTTTAATATAACTAATAGTGCCTCCGCTTTCAGTTGAAAGCGTCTTCCACATTTCAAATTTTTTTGCGGCAAAATATGGTATGGTTACTTGTCTTGGCATGTGAAAACGTTTAATATAACTAATAGTGCCTCTTTTCCCCTAGCGTCTTGCTTATAATGTCAACAATGTCTAAAAAAGAGAAATAATTTCAGTATAAACATTCGTCTCAAGATGTAGTAACTTCGGGCTTGGATTGTGATCCACACCCGAAGTGACCACGTCGTGAGACATACGATTATATTTCCTTGTGAAAGTGTTATTTACCACGATAACTCACCAAAGCCTTTTTTACGATGTCATTTCTGAAAAGGATCACAATCCTTTTACAACTTTTACGATACACCCGGGAGTTTAAAAATACCAAAATCATTTTCGTCTGGTGAATTAGTAGTAAAAAAAACTGATAAAAATAACCTTAAAAACAACATGCTATTTTGGAGATCCCTGCAAAATAAGATCTGAATTGTGCAGGCTATCCTTAATAGGTAAGTTTAAATTGAACAAAGCATTATCTTCCTTCCTTTCAACTGATAGCATCTATACTGAAAGAGTTAAGCCAGGGATTTTGGAAGGCTCTCACATGAGTCATTAGATTTTCTTCTCCGACGGGTAATGCTCCCATGGATCTAATTAAAACGTGTTGCAAACATTTCCATGCAATATTGAAAGTTGACAACTGGTATTAACCATCTGAACTTATTTAACAAATAGAAACTTAAATCATCATTTATCTGCCCATCGACAGGTGATACTAAATTTTGGGTCGTTTCTTTCCGGCTTTGACATATGATCTTACAAGCGCAAAACAAACTTGTTGAAATTCAAGTACCTGAAGGTGAACATGCATCTTTTGCACCAATTCCGATTCCATCAAGCATACATTTCTAGACTATATCGTAACTTCAACATTTTTCAAGGAGGCCTTAGAGTCGTTTAACAAAGCAAAAAGCAGTAAGGCCTCTTCCCTCCCCCCAGGAGAAGCCAGCAAGTTGATAAATTGTCGTTCCATAGTTATGAAAATTTTGACCTCATGCTGTTTGGGTGGTGTATGATATAGTCTGAAAACTAGTTCTGCTAACGCATAGTGGTCAATAATTAGTAATTATTCTGCATTAGAGGTCTTAGAAGAAAAAGCTACATTAAGAGCCACTAGCTAAACCTATTTGTAATGAACTGTAGTCTAGGCGAAAATATTTGGACTTTCCACTGTCCAGTGGTAGAAAGGTCTAAAAATCCAAATGGTGCCGGTCGCAAACAGTGGCTTGTGAAGAAGATTCATCAAAAGGCGATCATTAAACAAGAATAGCGCGTACCAATGCATTGTTCTTTCTCTACAGTCGTAAAGAATATGGATAAGAATGATTCGACTGTTCAAACAAGTCGTTGAATACTGTGGAACCTAGTAATCATCTTGGTAAACGATATGGATAGGGATCTCATCCACTAAACTCTTAAATGCCGTCATATTGGCCACACGATAGAAATGCACATCGGTAGAACTTGGAATTAAAAGCAGTTCTTCAATTCTGGGAATCCTATTGCCGACAGCAACAACAAACACTTCAGCTCCCAGGTTTTTTATTTGCATCGCTACCCAAATCAGCCTCTGAAGTTTGATCGTCTCAGTGAGAGTGCGCTCACACGGCCCTGTAGTCACAAGTAGCACTTTTTTACGACTGCCGTCACGCACCCCTGAATTGTGGTTAAGTAAAAGCATATTTTGTGCGGCTTGTAATGCATCAAAGGTGTTTCTCTTCCCTCCTTGATATCCTACTTTACCGAAGCTCTCGATGGCTACCTGGTGAGAGAAAAAAACGGATAAAAGAAAGAAAAACACAGGGATAAAAAAAGACATCTTGAGAGCAAAATTAGTACAACGGTTCGACATAACTACGATTGCGTTCATTGAGAGGAAAGTCAATGCCTTTGGTGAATTAGGAAAAGAAATAGTGACTTAAAAAGCTCGATTCTCATTGAAGCTGAAACTTCGCTGTATCATATCAGTTACACATTTTACACTGAATCATGTCGTTTATATTTATCATTATTCGCACATTTTACTCTGAACGTTCGTATTGGAAATGGCATAATGAAACCGATTTTCGATGCGATCTCAATAATGCCAGAAAAATACGGCAAGGGTGTAAAAAATAAACTTCTGGGAAATTGTACTCAAAAGCGCCCCTTTTACTTCTTATATTATGAGGTGGTTTGGACGGAACTCGATTTGTAATACTGCACACTTTGCCTGAAATATAAAAGCTATATCTTGAAACCTCTTGAATTATCCTACAAGTTTTAAGTCACAATCGCGCCTCCGTCCACTCGATATTGAAGACGTCCGCGAAATGCCGATTTAATCAAATCTAATGTAAATACGGTAAGACGAAACACCGTGTCGCACATTGCAGAGAACGGCATAGAACAGGCACGCAGAGTAAAGTAGGGATCGATTATTGTTTTATAAAACTCAAGTCTTACCCTGGCAAAATGAAAATTGAAGCTGATGGTAGCATTGGTCCCAAATATTATTGATGCAAATTGTGTGTCAGGATCGAACCTCGTCACCAAATTTTGTGCTGTTATAACACTGAGATTAAAGTTTTCCTCAGAGAGAAACTTGGATGAGTCGAGAATGAAAATGATGTCGTGATATGGAATGAATCGCTTTCCCCTTGTGTGGTCTCGACGATCTAGAAAATATTTCATGAGGTATTCCTTGATTTCCTGTAACGGTGGAGTCTTCTGAAAACCTGGAAAACGAGGAAGTAATTCTTATATGTAATGACATCTCTGAATACGATTAGGAGAGCCGGTGACATGTGCTAAGCCAGGTTTTGTAAACTCTGTTAGCAATGCGTGTAAGTCACGAAGATGGCATATAATGGCACTAATTGTTACGTCACATTCAAAGTGGCTAAATCACGCTGCGAATATGCGCACCTATTTCTATCAGTTTCTTTTAGCTTTATTCATGGACATGCGACGCATAGGGAAGAGTTCTGTGAGGATTTGACATGAAAATTTCACAGCGTTTGCCTCGCCTTAGGAGTGTGGGGGTTACATAAATCTTATTTAATTATATAGCTGGTCAGTTAATCCAATTTTTCCAGCGCAGCTATTATCCTTTAGTTTCTGAGAACTGTCCAATTAAGGATTAAATTGGATAGTTTCACTAAGGATTTTGAGTTACAAAATTCACATGCTATCCTATTTCAGAAAAATAGGACAGTTTGCCCAAGCCAATCAACTCCAAGCAAAAACATGCGATGGAAATTAGCCAATCAGTACAAAGCATAGCGTCAGCTCTGTAGACTTGTTGTGTTGTTGTTTGACAACGGCGGAATTTAGCGAGGAAGATTTGCCCAATTTTCCATTTCCTTAGATCTTTTCAATAATGGTGACGCAAATGAGAGATTTCCTTCGTTGCCAGAAGAGGACCTTACTAACCTAAGAAGCAAAAAACCAGAATCAAAAAACCTCCGAGAATACAAAAACTTGGGTAACCTTTTTCAGCGAGTGGAAAGTACTGCGTGGAGAAGCGAGAAAGTTTTAAGGTACCCCTTGTCATGAGCTGAATGCAATTCTTTGCCGTTTTTTCTTTGTAATTCGAAAGAAGGATGGCGATGAATATGAACCAGATAGTCTGGCCATCATGCAGTGCTCGTTGGACCGCCATTTGAAAAAGTGTAGCAGACACTACAGTATCTTGCGAGATCGTGAATTTACAAATTCAAGACAACATCTTGAGGCGAAAGTAAGGCTGTATAAAATGACAAGCTACATGATTAATAAATAAGAGGTCTACATGTTTGTTCAATTTGGAAGCAATTAGATTTAAAAAATTCTACTTACAGCCAAATTGGACTCGGCCTACAGCCTCGTTCAATTTTGGCTTCCTCAGAACTTTTTTCATCTAACTATTTCCAAAAAGGAAAGCATGTAGTGCTAATGGTATTCAAAGAAGAAGAATTCCGACTTCGGCATTTTGGAAGACGCAAGTTCTATACAATAAAAATATACGATCTCAAACAGAAAGAAAAAGGGAATAAACATATAGCTTCAGCTGCTCTCTCAGATAAAACTATTGTACGACCAAGAACTGTTAAGAACGTCGTCTCCCGTGAGGCTCTGCTGAATATGATTTGGTTCAACAACAAGAACCACGCGTGTTAGGAGCACCAAGATATGTGTTGGGGTGGCGTGCAAATACGCTAAAAAAAAATGAAGAGGAATTTTTAGAGTATCCGAAGAGAAAAACTCGAACTGGCGAGAATCTCCGATTTGTTAGACGAATAGAACTGGAAATGTTCTTTGAACCGAATGTGAAAAACCATAGCGGTCGCAAACCATGATTCAGGCTTTCACAAACAACGATATCACGGCGAAAAGCTCAATTTCTCTATCAGGACCCAAAAACCTTCGAAGTGTAGAAAATTAATCCGTTGTTCCTGAACAACAGCAAGTAAAAATGTCTCAAACTTTGGGTGAATGAGCACAGGGAGAACGCTTGATGTAGAGAAATCGAATTTATCTCAAGATTTTGAATGTTCTTCAACCACAGTTCCAGTAAACTAGTGCGGCCGCATATTATCAACACGGCCAGCAAGCAATGTCGCTCTTTACCGATGCTGTCATGCCCCATGGTTGGCGGGCGCGTACGATTTTTATCCATGAGTTGTGAATAACCGCAAAAGAACGAGATGTTGAATTGGCCACCAGTAAAGAACCGTTGAGTGTCGATAAATAGATTTTAGCACTTCATTATTATAATCAATATCATTAGTATTGTTATCATTATCATCATCATCATCATCATCATCATCATCATTATTATTATTATTATTATCATTATTATTATTATTATTACAATTATATATCTGTTGGTTGCATACTTTGAAATCTCATGGATCTCATCCCTACGTGGTAGTATATATCATCGTAGGTCTAACCGAGGGGGACTCACATAAATAAGGCAAGGGACAAAAATTAAGTGTTTTTCAAACGGTACCAATAAAAAAAATTTATCAATGCCATACGGCAAGACGAATGATAACATTTGTTTTTTGTGTGTAAACTCATCGATATCTATCAGAGCTGGTAGATGGTACGGGTGGTATAAGCGAGAACAAAGCGTAGTCTCCTTCGCAGCCGTTGTTTAGTCTCGTCACACATCGCACTTTCTACCCTTGACCTCGGCTATGCGTGGTAAAACCCATGCGAAAGGAACATGACCCTGATTGCAATTTATCCAAAAGCGCCGTGTACCAGCAAAAGCGCATATTCGAAATTCCAGCAATGTACCTTTGAGTGAACAAGATACGGAGGGGAATTTTATATCGCTAAATCATAATAAATACGTTTCACTTTTGTTGAGAAATTCGGTGTAAAGTAACTTACAGTCTCATCTCTGACATACCTCCCCGCAATGTTACGAGGAATAAGTCTATTTTGAAGTAAAACGGAAGACCGTTGTAAGTCGACCTGGTTAGCAGAAATTCATGATCATCTTGACGTGTCTATTCTTACTATTTGCATGAGCAGTTGATCTACTCTGACTGCTTGACGATATCCCTGCATGTTTAAGTGAACTTACTTTCATAGACATCTTCCTTCGTCTGCCAAATACTTCCTTCGCTAGTCAGCCCTATGGTGATAATCAACAGTACCCTCCACGTTAAGTTTGACATCGTCTAAATTCGAAATCTCTCACCTCTGTACTTCAATTTTCACAGTTCACAAGTCGTGTGTAATATCTACACAGTTGTCCATCTGTTTATTTTTTGAAAAAGTGGCGTGACATTCAGAAACGATACGATGGACAGCAACTGATTGAGTAATATCATTCCACAATTTCCGTTAAATAGTTAAAGCATCAGAGGGTTCGAATAACCACAGTGTTATTTTTAGTCTCTGGTATGTCGCAGATGTAGTCTCCTTTGCAGCCGTTCCCTCGGATGTCACATAACGCTTTAAACGATCGTCAAGGACACTATGTGGTGGGCTAAATCAGTGTATATACATGTCCAATACTTAGCAATTATTCACCGAAGTGGAGGTGAAGAGTGGTGGATATTTACAAAGCCGCAAAACGGTAAGGTAAATATCCATCAACCTCAATGACACTAAGGTGAATAATTAGGCGG